CTTCCAATCCAGGTTGAGAGTCGTGAGGACCCAGTGTCTGTAGCCAGTGAGCAGCCAGCAGCCAGCGAAATGGAGACTGATGTTCTGCCACCAAGTCCAGTGGCTGACCCTGCAGCCAGCAGTCCACCAAATTTGAGTGAACCTGTTCCTGTTAGACGATACCCGGTCCGAGTGCGGAAGCCCCCAGCTAGGCTGGATTTATGAACTTTGAAGTGACATTAAGACTGTGCTTATTTCAATAGGCGTGTTGTGTTTGACTTAACGTTTTAGTTCCTTATTAGTTACCATATTGCATGCACTAGCTAGTGGGGAGGAGTTGTGGTGTTTTTGGCCAGCGGCCAATACACTTTGAGCATGCGCACTTATGCGCCATTCCGGAACGTAGTCCGTTCGAATCAAAGACATGACACGTTCCGTGGTGGTGGCATGGATATTTTCTGAAACCACATTTTGCACCTTTAATATTATTCATTTAAGCCTCTTGTTCTAAATTTTGAGTCTGTAGATGAAATCCTTTGATGTGACCATTCAAATGAAACCTCTTTAAAAGTACATTCATGTGGAAGTATTTGTTTTTCAGCATTTGTAAAACAGACATTTTAAATATTTGTCAGATTATAACTTTGACCACTTTTTGAGAGTGAAAGAGTCAGTTACAGCTGTACCTACCAATGATAAATTTCCTTTGTTAAGGAAGTCTAAAATCATTCACAAGTTTAATATTATTGCCTTCTTGGAAGCAAACTATGACTTACTAGATTGGTTCTTAATGGTATTAACCTTGGGAGTATTTGTTGGAATGGTAGCGTATCTGAAAGACAGTTGGTGTAAATGTTCTTGTTAGTTTACAGCGGTGATCATAACCATATGCATATATTCATTTCTCTAGAAACCTCAGTGCTGGATCCAGACCTTGAGATAAGTGGGGGGGATCATCCAGACTCTTAGCTGTAAGGGGGGTGCAGTCTCCAAAAAAAATTTTTCAGTTTAGTCTAAGAATAGGGGGGGGGGAGCAGGCCCCCCAGGCCCTTCCTGTGGACCTGGATCTGCCACTAAACCTTCCTGTCTAATGGGCAATGATTTAAGACTCACACAGTTCCACAGCAGGGGAGACGAAATAAAATTTTCAGTGGTAAAATTTGATATTTGATGAGAAGCGAGGCAGAGAGATTTCTGATAAATCCACAGGTGACAGGTACAGGTTACTATATTATTGACTAGGGTATAGTTAAAACAGTTTATCTTAGATTTGAATTCATCCCCAGTAGATGAGCTTGGGCGCTGGTACCTACAAGGTTGGTGGAGCCGGGTAATGCTCTAGCACAAGGAAAGAGATATCCATGGCAATGTTGCAAGCCATCCACACCAGGTACTGTCATACTAGACCACTCAGTAAAATACTTACAGACCAAAACTTACGTACCTAGCCCTGACTTAAAGAGGAAGGCAGGGTTGGTAAAAACACAGCACTAAAACAGTGAAAAAAGCAAATAATCTCTAATAATCTCAAATAATCTCTCTGAAGAGCTACAAGTGAGCAACTGTGCATACAAGTCATGAGGTGCCCCTGGTAAGGGCATAGGGACCACCCCGTGTAATTGTAGTAGCGAAAACTGCTGACCAGCACTGGTTTGAGGTTAACTTTACCTAAATTACATTTTGCTACATCTAAGACCACAGGTAAACCAGGCTCACTATTTGTGTCAGGTACGGGTTTCAAAAAACAAGATAGAGAACATATGGGGCAAAGTTTAGGTCTGGAAATTTGCCAGAAAATGGAAATAAAAATCGATGAGACTTACCATGTGGCAAGTTGTTGTTGTCCCTCATATGCACATGAAGTTTTGGGAAAAATAGTCTCCTTCATCTTTCCTACATAGTAAAATGGAAAGGTAGGAGGCAGACGGCAGCCCCACAGTGCTCAAAGAATTAACTCACCATCCGACTACACCCTCCTCCCAGTGACTTATTATACTCATCATCAGATGCCCCGATCGAGCTTAGTGCCACTTTTGAATTGGACAGTCTCGGGCTGCCATTTTAGTAGGTTAAAGAACGAGTTCTGCGGAGCCTGCTGGCTTTGTGTTGCTAGCTGGAGATCCTTCAGTGGATTCACTGTTTTTGAGAAATTCATGTTCCACAAGCTTGGCATGTTTACTCAGCAACTGGATTCGATTTGTGCGAAAAAAAATTGTGCTGGTTTAGGATCGATCAGAGCCCCGGTGCTGCTGTCTGCCTCCAATTGCAACTTGCTTAAGTGAGCAATAGCCCTTGAGCAAACGTATTTCCAG